GCCATTGCGTGCAATAGGTCGGCAGCCTTATGAAATTTCCCCTTGTGGGACTAATAAAGGTATATCAAATCAAATAAAACAGAAACTCAAAGCTTTCATGTTGTAAACAACTTGCCCCTGTAACAGGGTGGACACTGAGCTATACAGAACTACTATTGAAAGTACAGGAAGTAGCAGGGTGACACTAATTCATGCCATTTCTTTTTTTGTTAAACAAAAATATTTAATCTATTATCACTAGACATAGCTTGTAAATCTTATCTAGAGTCAGCCTTGTGAACCAGCCTTTGTTTCTAACCTCTAAGTTCAGTATGTAGCCCACTGAATTGTGGGGGTTTTTTTTGGTTTTTTTTGTTTGTTTTTTGAATTGTGTTACGGTAAATAAATTTCCCTTAGTTATTTTGGAAAATTCACAATACAAAAACATTCACAATATCACAACTATTTTATTTATTGCTTTAAAGTGCTTTAGAGACAAGCACATTTACACTCCAGGTCTCCAAAAAAAAACTAGTTTCAATTTTCTGACCAGTTATGGATTTATTAAGAAAATTACTCACATATAATTAAATTATCAGCTCCATCACTGATTTTTTCTTTCAGCTTTATTAGTGAAATTTTCTCTCTCTCTCTCCCTTACTCTATGTGCAGTCGATGGATCACAGCTGTGATCTGTGAAATAACCCAAATACAACCAAAAACAACCCAAAACACCTTGAAATTATCACAAGGGGAACAGAAACATGGTAAACAGTTTCACTTATTGGTTGCAGGCACGTGCTGCTAGTGGTGACCTATACTGAGCCTCTTCGCTGAGATTTGCATCAGTTTTGCCCTTAAACAAGTTATGCACTGTTATGCAACAGTCTGTGGCACCTCGGACTAACCAAGCAACCTGGGGGAGGGTTTCAGCCACTGAGTATGAGTCTCAAGATGACAATCAGAAAGGTAAATTTGGTGTTAGCATCCTTAAAATCTCTCCAGCAAAATAATGAAAAATTACATCTCAACAAGGACATGTTTCTTTAAGCATTAAGCGATCAACTCAGTCACATTTGAGGTTTACTAATGGGAAAGTAGAAAAGAAAATAATATTTCAATGTGACACTTGCAATTCTCAAGAAGTAAATATTCATTCTCTTTTTTGGGATATTTCATGGTTGATTGGCCATGTAACTAATTTTGAACTTTGCAACCTGAAATTAGAAAAAAACAAGTATTCACTGACCTTTCTCCTTTGTTTCGGGGCTTTCTGTCATTGAAATATCTGTTTCTTAAGTCAACTAGCTTCCTACTTACTATAAAGGCAGCGTCATAGGTGAAAGATGAAGCCAACCCTGTGACACGTACTGCAGCTCCTCTAGCTGCCTCTAGATTGTAAGCTATTCCAGAGAAAGTGACTTTTTCAGATTCCTCCTCCTCATATTCATGAGTCTCTTAATTGTGTCTATATACAGAGCATTGTTAAATTGCATAAACAGACAGCCAAACAATTTTGTGCTCTAGTGATTAAAATGTAAGTACCAATTAGCAGGCATGTGTGATGCAACTAAAAGCCAGCTAATGACTGAGGGCTTCACCCGTTGTTCAAATATGGCTGCAACAAACTAACATGACAGCATGACTTTCATGTCCAGCCTGTTTCTGTGCAAAAAAAAAAAAGTTATATCAGCAGAAAATCATCATAATAGTCAAAATATTAGTTCTAGTCCACAATTTTTACAGGTAATGAGGTGCAGGCTAAAAATATAAAACCAGTTTCCTACATTTGTCAATGTACAATTTGTGTTAATAATCAAACCACACATTTCTTCTTTACTGGTGCTTTTATTGTGACTTAAATGACAGTGTTACTATAAAAGGACAAACTAAAACAGGAAGTGTGATGTTCACGTGAATTTTATCACGTTGTAGGTGCCAATATTAAAACAATAACAAAGGGTTCAAAATAAACAAAGATATAATAAATTATGTGCAGTCTATGCAGTAATAGCTCATACAAACCTTTCCTGCCTCCTTACCTGGTCAGTTTTTAAGCATGATTTAGACTTTATGCCTAATCTTAAAATAATAAAGTATGGACTGATATGAGTCCGGCTCATTCAATGTTCTTACGTGTATCTCTTCATATAGCAGTAAAAATAGTTTAGGATTCACAGGGATGCTCTATAAATTTATACAGTGCACAAAAACATCAGTTATGTGTGATTTTCAGGGTCATCAGATGGGCTGTTGAGCATCTCACATGAAAACGGAATTAAAAGCAAACTATTTCATTTATGCTGGATTTGCCACGTGTGCCACATTTTTCTGATAGAAATGCTGTACTGTGTGTAAAGCTAACAAGTGCATTATGTATAGTGATATGGCTGAATACAAACAGAAGCTAAGGGAAGCTGCCACAGGACTGTGGGAGCAGACAGTTAAATCCTTGAAGGCTGAAATCAGGCAGAGATTGGTCATCTTGCAGGAGGTCGTTGTCAAAAAGGTTTGGATTGTTGAGATACATCAGCAGATCCTGCGGCGGCTCTGGGTCTTCAACAGAGCCATTCATCATGGGATCAGGGTCATAAGATTCCAGTGGTGGCGTCAGAGGATAAAGATCCCCGTCTTGTTCTAAGACTGAAAAAGGAAAAAAAAAGTTGAATCTGTTGTCATCGCTGTGTAGTTTATTTATGCTCTCGCTAGGGAAATGAAACTGAAAAAACATGTGATTTGCTGTTGAAGCCCAAAGCAGAAAATAGAAAATCACAGGAACTGATTTTGTACAGAACATTTAAACGATGTCTAACTTGGATAGTTTTTTTTTTACCTCAGAATAGCTCAGTTGAATCGATACTAAATACAAATATCACATACCCTTTGTAAAGGAATAGTTTATTTTATGGCATATTAGAAAAAACAAAAATGAGCATTTTAACCATCCGTAAAATATTTAAATCTGACTGAAAGTGTCTTTTAAGCTCAATAATTTACATGTTACTGAATAAATAATTAACCCTGTACATAAAAATCCTACACATGACTAAATCTGACTACTACTACACCCTCACCCCCATATTTTTCCATCATAAAACTCAGACGCGCATAGAAAATACTGTTAATATTATTTTCCCTGTGAACCCAGAATCACGGAAATATTAAAATCCGAGAACATCAAGTCACTTAACGAGTGCAAAACCTCAGAAACTGTGAGAGCTTGACTGCAGCCATGAACAAAGCACTGACGCTATACGAATAAAACTAAATTGAACTGAATTGTTCTATATTACAGCACACACACATTTTCATATCTTAGTCCAGACATCTCATTTACATTACACTTTCCCTAGCCGCTTAGCCTAAACCTAACTGTAACAAAACACATTTTGAACCTCAAAAATGCCTTCAAACGCGTGGGGACGGGCATTTTATTAAAGTTAAGCTATCTATGTACATGGTCTAGGACTTTTTTTTTTCATTTTCCAATTCAAATTATGATTCAACCTCATAGCTGTTTGCCTTCGCTCAAGGCTTAAGTCTTTCTCTAAGGATTTTCTGACGTGTCAATAGAGAAAACAAATGGAAAATTTGCTTCTGAAAGCGGAGCCATTAAAAAAGCGGGCAGTCCCTGTTGCACTCTACAGTTCTCTATGACTTTAACCTTTAAAGCTTGAAGAGATCCAGCATGCATTGCAGATGAACAATTGCAAGTGATGAGAACAGGACTTGTAGGGATCAATGCAAACAGGGCAAAAGCACTTTGAGCAGTGAGGACAGCAGAGAAGGTGACCTCAAAGGGGAGATCGCAAAGATTTAAATCAGGTAAGATTTTTGCTTGTTATGAATGGGATCAAGCAAGGTTTTGATTTGACCAAAAAGTCAAACATAACGTACTGTAAACATTTTTGTAGTAATTAAATGAAGTAAATATAATTTAATTGTGAGTTTTAGAGGTGCAAGTATGTATATTACTTCAGTAGTCATTTTAATAGCGACTCCAAGAATGTAATTTAATGTAAAAGGACCAAAAAGCTGCAGGATAATAAAACGTGTTAGTGATTCTATTGCTTGGCCAGAAGAAGGCTTTATGTTCACTGCACCATGCTACGGCACATGTGCATGCAGTAAAAGCAGCCAACATTCCCACAAAAGTTCAATTCAAGGATAAAAAATAAATAAATAAATCTTTTAAAAAGCTGTCACCTGACATCTGCTATATTCAGACAGCATGCTACGCATTGATTTCATGCACTGCAAGACCATCACAGGGATGGTGACAGAGATTTTTGATGGAAGGTGAGTAATTTGTTTGACAAGGTCTTAAGCTGGATTGGACAGCAAGGAGAGGCATGACTCACCAGCTGCCTCTCCACACAGGCCATTCATTGGCTCCAGGCCTTCACCCTGTGCCATGTCAGAGGGCATGGGTGACCTGGCCTCCAGTGTGTTCCTACATGACCAATGATAAACAGTCATTACAACCATTAGCTCATGACATAAAAAAAAGGTGTGGGCACACCACTTTTTAAGTGAAGTGTATTTAAGTTTGTTGTATTAATGGGATGGTTGTTTTTTTTTTCTTTAATTCCAACAAGCAAGACATTATAAATTAGGCTGAATGTATATGGACCGCATACTTACTCCTTGGAAACAAACACCAGCTTGGTTTTGATGTACTTTATGTATGGACTGTCCTCTGAAACAAAAAGAAAGAGAAATTTGATTTAATGGGTCATCTGCAGGACTAACTTCAATAATATTTTAAATGGTGGCCTTACCTCCACTCTTCTCAGTGTAATACTTTCCAAAAGCCTTATCTTTCGGGGTGTCTGGATACAGGTAGAGTAGAGGATTTTCTGGGACATTTTCAGCTTCTAAGATCTGGTAATTTCGAATGATTTCATGGAAGGGAATCTGGGAAAGGTCAACTTTGGTGAAGGGCTGGACTGTCTTTACATCAGGCTCACCTAAACAGACAGTGGATGATGTATTAAACAGGTTACCCCGGCCACTGTGAAATGCAGCTTAGTTGTATTTCTCTCAGACACACAAGCAAAAAAAAACCCAAAACACTCTCACCAGTCACAGTGATCTCCACCCAGGAGAAGGTAATTCCCCCAATGACGCTTTCACTGAAACGCAACAAGAACGTGCCTCTCTTTTTCTTCTTCAAGAGAGATTTCTCTTTGCCTTTGGTCACAAAACCCATGATGAGCCTGAAGCACAAAAGGAATTTTATTTTAAAAGGCAAACATTTCAGGTTTCACGGACACTGACGTTATGAGCTAAACTGGACCATGCATATTAGAAACAGAGTTATCCAGATTACAATACTGACAGTGTGGCAAGTGGCTGGATTCTTTTAATCTGCTTAAACATTAACCTGACACTGCTGTCAAGTTTTCAAATACAGACGCTTACTTTTCTTTACATAAAACAGACATTTGTTGATAACATTTGGAGGACAACCTGCAGATTTTTCCAAAAAAGGATTATCCAATATAGTTGTCACGAGTTAAGAGGTACCTATCTGTGTGACGTACAAATAATATGGAAGGTACAGTACTGTGCAGAAGTCTTGAGCCACATCTCATTCATTTAGAAAGTTAAAATCCCTTGTTATTTTGTAATTGTGTAAGCTGTCTTGAGCAATAGTTCTCCAGGCTTTCTGAAGGTCTTTCAAAATTTTTATTTGGACACTGGTTTGTTTTTCAGTCATTCTCAGTCCAGTCCTGAAAGTTAACCATGATCAGAGGAATGTTTGTTTTGTTTAACCCATTAAAACTGACCTATGAATCATTCAAGCAAAAAAGCTTCTAAGAATGTATAACAATCATACCCATCCCTCCACAGATCCTCAAGGTATGTTTTCACCATCATCAAAATGCCATCAAACCACACCCAGAAAGTGTCAGGAGTATTCTCCTGTAACACAAACAGCAGAAAATGTCATTTGGACACTCTTACAGGCCTATGTTCTCTGCAACGAAATGCTCAGATATATTTAGATGAGATGTAATAATTGTTTTTAGTGGTGAGGCTTAAGGTTAAATTTGCTCAAGACTTGCAAAGTATGGCTTGAGGGATTACAAAAAAAACAGTAGCTTTTAGGGCTCTTACCTTGGTAAATTTTGACCACGGTACTGTGCAGCTGTCATAGTTTGGCTTTTTGCCTGGAGATTAAAAAAACACGATGGACAATCACAAGCATGCTTACAAGCCACAAAGGACAACGAATTATGTCAGTCTTGTGCTACTATCTATAAATGTAAAGTTTGCAAAATCAAGATACATTTTAACAGTACATGAAAGTAGGTGTTGTCAACAATGAGCAGAATGAAGCAGAAGACGGTGGAAGAATTTACCAAAGAGCTTGTTTGCGATCATTTCCAGCTGAGTGTCATCCAGGCCACGTTTTGTGGCCGAGAGAAACTGCCAGCTCAACATCTCTCCAAACTGAGGCCAAGTAGCTGCAGGAGTGTTGGCGAAGAACATAACATCCTGGGAAAAGCAGACATATGCACATCATATGTACACGATTAATTTAGTCTGGCCCGTAATTGTATTACAAGGGAACTTGAATGCAAAAGCACAGCATGTCTGCCAGTAACAGTGACTTATCACCTTGGGATCCTGACTGAGCATGTTGAACCAGAGGACAGATGCCCAGGCACTTTGCTGCTGGCTGGAGTTTGAGATGATGACCACAGGGAGGGTGGAGGCCTACAAGTGTGTGTGCCATAAAAACATATAGCTTCTACTTAGGTCATAGTTCTGTCACCAAAGCTGCAAATTAATAATTAATTTTTAAACGGAACTAATGTTCTTTATCTGTGATGGCAGCCATATAACATGAAAAACGCAGAAGAAACTCCACCTGCAGCTCAACAGAGAAGCCTTTCAGCTCAAATACAGTGTTGAAGTAGATGATATGCAGCTCCTCTGTAACACTCAGAGAAATCTATAAACAAGAAAGTAACACACAGATCATTATTCCTTTATTATGATGTAACATTAAGAAGAGATGGTATCAGCAGGGTTACCAATATTAACTCACATCACTGACTCCTTTGCCACCACCTCCTGATTTCTGCTCCTTCAGAGTCTACAGACAAATAGTATTTATGAATTAACTAGTAAGAACGCACACACAGTCACTCCCAAATAACAAATAAAAATTCTCACCTGCCAGTAAAGGCTGTATATTGATATAAATGTTATTTTTTGAATTACTTGAGTGTAGCTGATGTATTACATGTTAAATACAGTGTTAAATATTTGGTTTTAAACCATTTTTGTGTCACAGTTGTATAAAAGTCTTTGTATCTAATTGCTTATGAATTCATTATTGAATATACCAGATGTCTGAAGTCTGCCACCATGCCTCCATTCGTGCTCTCAGCCATGTTCAAGGCCTTAATTTTAGTCCCCAGGACATTGAAACGTCGATACCTACAAAAAACAGGAGGTTTACTAAAAACAAGTTCACAGCAAATGTCAAAGCTCAACGTGGCTTCTGAAACTTAGATGTAAATGAAAAAAACTTGCCCTTTGATCTGAGGAGCCTCCCTATATTCAAGGGTGAGAAAAAAACACAGCAGACGTGATCACAGGGAGGAATTAGACATCTTTCTCTAATGTTAAATCCTGGAAGTTTGTTTTAAGGGTAATGAAAACAACTAAAGGTCTGAAAGAGAAAACTTACTTGTCCATGGATACATCCACTTTCATGGAGTGGTTCAGTTCCGGAAACTTCACAAGAAGTCTGAAATGGTTAAGTCAGGTGCAAAATGTTAGAGCTTGAGAAATATGAAGATGATGAAGACAAAAATGTAAAAAAACAGGAAACCAGGAATGCTCCCAAGGTCACAGCATGGAAGAAGATGAGATGGCTCTGCAGGAATGCAACAAACTTTCAGACTTACTCGCATTATTTCACAATTGATTCTTTGTTTACATGGTGGAAATAAAGGCCAACAAAACCACTCTCTATACCAGTCTGTTTCTATAAAGATACAGCAGCTTGATATGCACATTATCCTAATAAGTACAGTATAGTACAGTAAGATAAGGGGGGCGCAATGTCAAACATATATTCTTACTTTGTGTAATATGCTGAGATATTTATAATTTATAGTTAATTAATTTTTTGTAACTTTGCAATACACTGTATTATTTAATTTGGTTTAGTTAGTAAATGTTCTTACTGTCTTGGAGCACAATAAAGTATTCTGATTCTGACATTATTTACTGTAAGCTCATTAGTGGCTCTACAGGTTTAAACATTTTCCTAAAAAGCAAAAGATCAAAGTTCAATCCCAGGAGGAGACACAAATCCCTCTGGGGTTGTGCCAGCCAGGACACCCAGTGTAAACAAAATCTGCCAAATCAAACATGTGGATTAGGGAGCAGCTGAAAGTAGCTCTCTTATTAATGCAGATAAGTCCATCGAAACACTGCGTGCACGCTGATTTCTGTGCTGGGCACTGACCTGGCTTTGACAGAGAACTGGACATTTGTGCGGAGAACCAAAGATCCTTTCCCCTGAGGCATGGATGGCTGAGTTTCAACCACAAAGGAGCTAAATGTAAACGTAAAAGAAAAAAAGGGAATGTCATTTAATTAACTAAAAAAAACATAAAAGTGAAAGAGAACATCATACAGTGTCCTAAAAGAAATACCTCTTGAGTAAGTCTCTTAGAAGAGTGTCCACTCTCTTCTGCAGTGTGGGGTTTTGGACCTTCACAGGGTCATTTTCATAGGACACTTTTCCTACTAGCTCCTCCAACTTAGTAAGAAACTCCCACACCTGGAACAGACACACTGCCACACAGCTGAACCTAGAGATTCAGAAAGAGAATTTATTTTAATTTCATGCAGATTTTAGAGAATGGGGGGATGGACTTTGGAAATACAAATTCAGCTCAAAGAGAATAAACATACCACTTTTCCAGCTGATCCAGGCAAACATTGTCCGGAGCACCAATGCATGCTTTCTGCTGCCTCCTCTGCCACTCCACCAGCTCCTTCTTCACAAGCACATCAATGATGTCCTGAATCCTGTCCAGAATATCATTTAGGCCTGACAACGTGCTCTAAAAAGTGATAAAATGAGATAAGAATGTAAATAATTAAACAACTACAATAAAACATTTAAGAATATATTTAGGAATATTACTGACTCCATACCTTCCTGCAGTTATTCAACTTGTTGACAAGCAACTGAAGCGCTTTAATCTGTTCTTTTTTCCTGGCCTCGTCTACCACAGCTGCTTAAAAGTTTCCATGGTGGGATGAAAATTTCCACATGACAAAGACCAAAACAAAAGAGTACATGTAGCTCTGATTTAAATCTTTTTTAGATTTATTACTAACTCTCACAGACATTAAAGCATGAAAATATAACCAGATTGTTTTCATTTGTTTACCTTCCAACTTCTGGGTTTGGAATTTAAAATCAAACTCATCTTGCTGCTCCTCCAGACATATGATTGTATGTTCCATACACTATAGCACAAAAAAGGAAATGAAAAAACTGCGACATGCTTTATCCATATAATACAAATAATAACACAAAGGAACATAATCTCCACCTGCACTTCATTCCTCAAGCCAGCCAGTTTACGTTCAAGGTCCTGCTGACTGCTTGTCTCCATTGCCTCTGGCTCAACTTGCAAAAGCTGGACCTAAGAATAAACAAAGGTGGAGCTAATACCAAGATCTTATTGTCTTTCAGATGTAATACTGGGTGAAGCTGTCACAAGGGAAATAGTAAGTGAGAGTGTAGTGTAAAAACTGCTGGGGGGAAAATCTTCACGTTTTAGCCCACACAGTGAGTTTCGTGGTTCTATTTCGCACACACAGCTCTTTTTAAAAAACTGAATGGAAAAAACTAAAACAGGATAAAAATTTACACTAGGCTCCTTGAAAGTTTGCATTTAATTTTACACTTAAAAGCTGAATTGCAATACTACAAACACAACAGCTAACAATGGAGTCATAACATAAAAAAAGCCAAAACATGGCAATACACCAATAGATCATACGATATAATGTTTTCCTGTAAAAAAAAATACCACATACAGGTATATCCAAGTGTGCAAGTGTAGTGTTGGGGCACTATTTTTAGCAGAGCATTACCATTTTACAGTACATGCTAAATACCTATGCTTTTCTGGGTTTATTTCTTTTCTTAAGGCACTTAGCTACATTGTTATCAAAAGTGGCTATACATAGTTTATTTTTAATTACCACAATGAGACGTTACACCAACCTTTTCAGCCAGTTCAGCGCTCTCCAGGATTTCCTTCTCTTTTTCCAAAAACCAAAGGATGGTGGTTGCCAAAGCACACGGATCATCCACATACCTCTGTAAGAGAGAAATAGCAGAGGCTGGGAGTCACATGTGTTAAAGTATATTATATTACACTGATACAGTATATAGGCCAATCAACTGTGCAGACTTACTGGAGGTCATTAAAAGGCTTTTTTTTACTTTTGTCACTTTTTATAAACCTTTACTGTCATATTATCATTTCTCATCAGCCAATAAAGGATTAATAACAGGTTAATGTTTTCCTATGTCTAAATATCTCTCACTTGGCTAAACAGGAAATTCTGAGCGTGTAAACACATAAGCAAATCATGGTAAACGGAGTGGTTGCAATTATGATACTGTTATTCAAAATTTGCTTTTCCATTTTAAACCAGAGACGTCACTGGGTTGCTCCTTTACTGGACACACCTGAAAGTTCTGCTTATAGCGCCTAATGTTGTGCTGCAGTAAAAATGACTCCTCCTGGACAAAGCGGCTGTGTTGGATGTCCAGATTCTCAAGCAGGACCTGGAACAGCACCATAGCAAAGGCATGGTCCCGTGCTGCCCGCTGCCTGTAGAAAATGACATAATAAGAGCTTTTCACAGTCATACTCACTTACAGTAATCATTGAAACTCGTTGAATCACAGGGTTCCTTACCACTCCTGCTTCTCTATCCAAGGGGCCAGGTAGTGCCGAACATCCATGGGTAAAGCATCTCTGTCATAGAGCTCGTGTAACTGCTGTCGGTACGCAATAGGAAGCTGTCTCAATCTGTCCCACTGTGCCATCCTAAGGCACACAAACAGCCAGCAATCACATTAAAGGCTGGATTCAAGTCAACGGGAAGGAATGTGTATCTATGCCGGGTGTTAACTTGTCATCCTAGAGTGCGACTACTTTATAAACAGTGCCATAAAGAGTATAGTGGGCGAGGTTGTACCAGTATGAAATCAACAGCTGAGCGAACAACAGATGACCGTAGACCAAGTCCTTACTGCATGACGTGAAATCCGTGCACACTGTTTAAGAGCGATACTGAAAATTTAAACTTTATATCTGCAGGTTAGCTAGCTGGCGGAAAAAGTGCCAAGACCACAAATACCCGTCGATAATGACCCGTCGATAATAACACATTTACTCACCTCAGTGCAAGATATCAGTGCGAATCCACTTAGTATACCTTATTAGCTTTCCGCTAGATTAAGACAATGTGCATATCTAGCTCTTCCGTCGAGCTACTTTGGAACGCTGGTAAAACAAAACAACTGTCAAGAGCAAGCAAGCGTGTAAAGTGTTTCCCCGTCAAGTCTTTATTTTACTGCTTTTTCATTGGATATCTACTTGTCCCGCCCAAGAAGACCATGACGTCTAAACTCCCGACGCCATTTTGGCTCTGAAAGAATTTCCACCAAAGGCAGTTAAAGAGCCGAAATGTCGCGACAAGACTCGCAGATTCCTCGTGAGTTCAGACTTAACGCCTGATTGGTTAGTCCGTGGACAGGACCACGCGTTCTGCTGGTTAACGCATCTGTCAATCTCTCGCGTTGCATAGCAGTGAGCAAAATAGAAACTTACGGCCGTGTAACCAAGAGATTTCCCGAGAAATGACGTTTCGAAAGTGACAAAGCCAAAGAGGAGCATGTGACTCACAACAAACCTCAAAACAGGTTGTGTGTCTTCGTAGAATCATCTGAGAAGAAAGCGTTTTTTATTGTATTCCCACGTCGTTTTTATTGTATTCCTTTATGCAAACACAATGAAAATGAAAAAAAGTACCTTTACGTTTATTGGAGTAAAATTCGAAAAGCATGACGTATCAGCAATTTACTGCTCCTTAACCCACAGGGGCTATTCACAGTGGGTGGCTCCGCATGTTTTGATTTACAAGCCAGGCATATTTTGCTTATTAGACGACAGCACACTGTATTTAATGTGTTCATTCTCTCGATTTCTACTGTCACCAGTAGATGTCACACTTCACTCAAAGAAATTAGGATGCCAGTTTGGATTTTTTTTTAAATTTTTTATTTTTACTTTGACTCAAATGCGCCATGCAGGTGTGAAGAAATTCCTAAGTTCTAAATATAATTTCTCTTTTGCAAATCTAATATAGTTATTATTATTAACTTAACCATACATTCTATAGGTCTGTTGGGCCTATCAGATTAAATATTTTGATTCTTATCCTTTTTTCAGTATATTTAGAGTGTGGCAGGTTATTTTAAATAAATAATATGTTGTGTAAGAATATCTTGATCAAGTCAGAGGGAATTAGGCAACAGACAGGCAACACTCTGCACTGGTCACTGGTCAGTCACAGGGCCAGCACCAAACACACACAAAAAAAGAAACACAGTGGGTTTCTTTCTTTTGGTTCATAAATAATCTGCATCAACAGAGAGAACAGACAAATTCACAAACGTCTCAGACAGCTGGAATTAAATAGAAATTTGAGTGTATCCTGTAAGCCAATACCAAGGAGCGTCTCTTAGATCTAAGTCTAATTTGCAACAGTGTGGCCAACTGCAAAATGTCAAAGCCCTGAAAGTGAAGCAGTTAAACAGAATTTTTCACCCCACTGAAGGGAGGCAGTATGTAATCAGTTCGGTTTGTTTGTCTGTCTGTCTGTTTCTTAGCAGCATAACATCCACTGTTTTGAAGATATCAAAATTTTGTGTGATGGTAGATATCAATAACAGCTCGAGCTGATTTAATTGTGCTGAAAATCGGGCCAAGGTTAAGGTCAGGGTCACCCCAAATGATAAAATCAGTGAAAACTTTAAATCTACCGACAATTCTTTATGGCTTATCTTCAAATTCCACAACTGGCTAAGCATTTGACCTTGAACTTCATTGTTAGCGTTTACTTTGAAAAAAATTTAAATAAAACATAAAGAGTTTTATTGATTTCAGTCAAGTCTGTTCTAGTTATATGGGTAAAGATAATAAAATACATCACAATCACACACTAACACATCTGCACTTATGGCCAGTTTGTGTTATCTGTTGGAGTGTGAATGTTAGGTAAAAGTCCTTAGGTATTGCAAAAAGCCTTGTACAAATATATGTGTGTGTGTGTGCGCGCGCATGTGTGTGTGATCAGCTGACTCAAATTTACAGTATGAAGCATTTTGATTGCTTAAATTGAGTTTGAAGGCGCCTTATAAGTGCCAAACCCCATGCCACTTATTTTCTTCTTTTTAAAGTATTATGTAAATATTCTTTAAAGCATCACTTAGCGTCAGCTGAAGTACATACACAGTTTAAATTCCCATGATTAAGACTGTGTTAGGTATGTACTGCAGTTCAACACGAGCGTGCACATTAAATATTTTCAGCACAAAAAACAATCTGATAACATTATACACTGCCACCAATTTAATGTAAAATTTAATAACATTTACAGGAAAACATATACAGCAACAATATTTTATCATGAGGCTAGTGTCCCTGCAATTAAATCCGAGCTGAGAATATGACTGCGACCTGACAACCTGACTGTAGGTTTCAGCTGAAGGAAGAGACAAATTAAAAATAAAAAAGATGATAAACAGAGACGGGCAAAATCAAAGTGTTGAGGGACTGAAGGTTTTCTTTCCTGAGACCAGTCATCAGTGTTGCTGCCTAATACAATTAACTAGTAAACTACTTTATAAAGTATATACTTAAAATATTATTTCTAAGCAATGGCTTAAAGCTTACTTTCTGAGGTTATAAATTATTGGATCTGTTTTCAGCTCATGTGGACATTTTTCACTCTGTGGAATGACTTTTATTTCATCGTTAGCTTACATTGTCTCTCTTTTAGTATTTTATATATGCAGACAATTTGGAATCTGTCTTAATAATATTCTTTCATTGTGTACACACTTACAAAAAAAGAAAAGAAAAATTGCACTGCAAATGATCACTAATAGTTACTATGCAAACAGGTAAGCTATCAATTATTGATCCTCTATCTTTACACATGTAGCTATGTCAGTATTTATTGCCAGAGTTTAAGAGGGTGATTCACTGATTCTTCAGTCTATGGTGATGACACCCTCCTCCACGCTGAACTGGTTCACCAGCATGTCATCTTCCTCCTTCATGGAGTTGAGCAGATACTTGACCCCAGCTTTCACGCCGGTCTTCACCCCTGCACCCAGAGCATAGCCTGCTACCCCAGCAGTCCCACCCGTGGCGACCATGAGGGCATCTGTTCCGAGGTCAACGGCGCTCAGGATGGCTCTCTCCTTGGCTGTTTCAGAACAGTTGACTGAGGCGTAATACACAGCTGTGCCAAGGTTATAGAGTGTGCTGACTCCAGGGATCCACTCCATTACACTGTACACGCGCTGCTCGCTTTTGTTGATGCAGTTCCTCTGGGTGCTGCGCTTCCACCGGTGACCAGTTGCTGCTGTGGCGCTGCACTGATGGATCCAGGTCTCAGATTCTGTGGATTCAGATGGCAATATGCGACTACCTTTTTTCCACACTGCCTGGTACATCCCAGGTGTGTGACGCCCACTGCTGGTCACACCAGCACACAGGAATCCCAGGCTTTCACAGCTGCTCACAGCATCCTCCAGTCCACCTGTGCCTCCCTCCACAGCGTTTCCTATCAGCACGGTCCCATTTACTCGACTCCAACCCTCGCAGTGCCCCTCCTGAATAGTGTTGCCTTCTCCCACGAATGCCAGCTGCTCAATGTTAAACATCACAGCTTTTATGTGTCGCTGAGTTTGATCTCTCCCTGAAGGCAATGATGCTGATGTGGGTGTTGGTGCAGCTGCTGATTTACTCATCCTTCGCTCTATTAGGCCTTCTACCTCCATCAGGAGCTCCTCTGTATCAGCCACTCCCAGCAGATCATACAGCTTCAGCAACAGGGTCTGTGCTTCCTTTGGGCACCCTGACACCACCAACACAGGCACCAAAGAGAGACCCAACAGCTCCTGTGGAAACATGGAGGACAGCGAGTCATCCACAGCGCTGGCTGACAGCAGCTCCTCACAGCTGATGTTCCCCTGAATGTGTAAATGAGCTTGAATCTGCTCCTGAAGCTTCGCCCCAAGGACCGATGTCATTCGTTGGGCAGATCGGATTCTTTCAGATTTTTCCTCAGGTAAGAGACCAGACTGAACTTGAGATCCCAGGAGAGAGTCCAGATTCTGTTTGGACACCTCCTCTACAGCTTCATGGGTGTCACTTCCTGGAAGCAGAGTGCTCTTTTGCACCAAAGGAGGTGGGACCCTGCACAAGGCCTGTTCATTCAGCAGGAGCTGGATCACAATCAGCCACTTCAGCTTGGAGGACATCATCCTGTTTTAAAAGAACACTTTTCCAAAGCCACTACACTAAATTGGAATAGTAAAAACAAGGGAAAAAACCATTAGGGTTATTATTGTATGTGCTGAGTAAATAGTGCAATCAAAGACCTGGATTATTTGGTTAGTTTGTCATCACAGTAAATGTAAACCACTTTGTCTTATAGATGAGTTCATAATTTTTTAGCTGCCGTGCAGTCTTCTTGTGGTGTTAAATCCTTTGCTGCAGGCACTAAGCAAATATTGACTTAATGGTGTTTATGCATTTGCAAAGGTACGCTGTGCAGGAAAATAACCTTAGTAGAACATTTAACCTTTAAATCCAGAACAAAAATGCTGTTTGTAAAAAAAAGAGTTAATCGCACTGTAACTTTAACAAAAAAAAAATGCTATTAACAAATCTATTCTACATCTAAAGTGAAATTAAACCCCCAAAAAAAGCAAAAGCAGTAAAAAATGATTTTTTTTAGCAAAGCAAGAAAGAGCAACACGTCCTGAAACTGGCCTCTCACTCGGAGCTGAAGCAATTGCTCATGTTCTGTTTTGTTCTCAAAAACAACAAAAACATCCTGTTCCATATGTTTATCGTACACCTACCTTATTAATAATTAGTGTTGCTCATGAAGTCCTGAGCGTCTGACCAAGATGGCTTCACCATGTAGGATGCTTTTTGTATTCCCCTTTTTCCCTTTTCTCCAAACGTACATAGTGATCTTCTCTCCCTTTGCCTCCAATGAGAATCTCTTTCTTTACACATGACATCCCACAGCCCTCCCTCTGTATCATCCGTCTTTCAACTCCCTCTTCTCTTTGGCCTCATTGCTCAACAGGGAGATCAGGGCTTGAATATTGATTCACGTGGGGGAAAGTCCATGTGTTCTAAAGCAGTTTTGTTTGTCTGCCCCGCCATCCTCTCATTCTCCCCGCCCCCCACCTAGTCCCTCTGCTCCCCCTGTTCCCTCTCACACAGTCGCCAGGTTTTGTTTTTGACCCAAATACTTGAAAGAAATCTCCCCTCATGCCGTTAGCGAATTTATCTCTTACAGAACCAAGTGAAGGGGAGGGGGGGGTATTTAAGGTAAAGACCCATCACAAAAGCCCACATAAAACTCTGTGTGCTGTGTGTGCGTTTCTTTTCCTTGTGCCATTATTTTACATCCTAATGCATTACACACTGCTCCATTTAAAAACATACTTTTT